TTGCTCCTTGGTGTGGCCATTGTAAAGCTATGGCAGAATCCTATAAGGAGCTAGCTTAGAATTTGAAAGATAACTAGAATGTACTTATTGCTGAAATGGATTGGACTACTCATTAAACAAGTGCTGTTGAAATAAAAGGATTCCCTACATTAATATTCTTTAAGAAAGGATAAGATAAACCAGAACAAATAAAGTATCAGTCAGTTAGAACAGCTGAAGCCTTAGCTAAGTTTATAGAAGACAACAATAGTTTTGTAAAGAAAGAAGATTTGTGATTAAGTATATTTGTTATAATTAAAATATACAATTTATATTAATTTTATTCTAAATGAAGAAAAGTGTATAAGAATCATATAAAAAACTGATGGATATTGTTATATTTACATAGATACATATTAATTCAATAATCATCACCTCTAGAAAGGACTTCTATACAGCTTGGCTTTAAGAATATAGTATGTTCATATTATGACACATAGGAACCTCTGATATCACAAAGTGGAGGATATCTATGAAATGATTTATAATTTAATACGGGTTAACAATTCCTAAATCACATAGATTTTTCAATCCCAATAAATAATTGGATTAGCCATCTCTATCTAGGAATCTTCTGCAGAATGCCAAAGTATCATAATGATTATCTATGTGAGTTAAGAGTGATTTAGCTTTTGGAACTCTAACAGCTGTAGGTTTTGCATAGAAATCTTTCATATAATGTGAGCATTCCAAATCTTCATTTACATATCCTTTTCCAGTTGATCCAAAAGTTTCAATTGCATATAATTCTCCTTCTTTCATTAAAGTATTATCATTTGATTTGACAATTGGAACACTTTTACCCCCATGAATATGATATTTACATATCAAATGTCCATTTAAATTTTTAACTGATTTAACTTTATAAACTTTTCCTCCAATTTCAACTTCATAACTCTCCATAGTTTCTTATATTGCTGCTCCAACATCTCCTAATCTAACATCAATTCCAGAATTTTTGATTCCAGTATCAGTTGCATCTTTAGCTGCTTATAATAAAGTATCATAAACTGGATTAAATGCAACAGTAAATGCACAATCTATAATCCATCCATCTACTTATGTTCCAAAATCTATTTTGCAAACATCATCATATCCTAAGATTGTATTATCTCCATTATTTGGTGTATAATGAGCTGCACAGAAATTTAACGAACAACCTGTTGGAAATGCTATACCTGCATTTAATCCATTTTCCTCTACTAAATATCTATTCATATTTTCCAATTTCTCACATATATCTATCAATCTATATATATATATATATTAATAAATACTTGTTTCCTGGTTTCAACAATTTAGCTTAAGCATATTATCTTACTTATCTATGACATTCAGCTGCCTTTCTCAAAGATTATAATTAATGTTCATGAATCAAGTCCTTTTCTCTCATTTCATCTTTACTAATTCTTGATGACTTTTCACCCAAATATGGAATTTCTTAACCTTTTGGATAAACAGCTTAAGGAAACTATTTGGAAACTGGAATTGTTGGTGGTTGAGTTTGTTTCCATTCCTTCTCTTCCCAATTTCCTAATTTTCTGATACCAGAATTATCTACGAATCTTGAATTAGTCTTTAAATATTATTATAAATATATACAATGGGATCTCCTTCATTATAATCTGGTCCCAATTATTTTTTCTTATCTTCTATTACTTATTGTTATTATTATTGTATTTATTACTATTTTTAGGCTTCTTAATTTTATTATATTAATTAATCTAAAAAGTCATCATCTGAATCAACATCCTTCTGATTCTTTTTGTTATTACCTTTAGCTTCCTTCTTTTTATTTTTGTTCTTTTATGCTTTTTTACTTTGATCTTATTGTTTAGCTTCCTCTTTGGAAATCATAAATTAATTATTAATAAAAATAATTCATATATGTGATTAATATAATATTAAATAATAAATCATATCTTATGTACTTACTTTACAGAGTATATCCTTATTAACTATACATTCATTTTAAGTTTAAGTTTATATATATATTCTTTTTTTAATTAATACATTATTCTTTATTGTAAATTGCTTTTCATATATTATAAAATAAATTCATTTAAAAAATAATATCATTTTATATAATCATTTTTTATAACATTAACACTACTTTCATCTTATAAAAAATCTTAGTGTCATTTATTAAGGATCATCAACAATTTCCATTTTAGAAATTATGTGTTAATTAAGTTTTTTTCTTATGTTTCTTTTTACTTTTATAATTATTCATTATTATTCTTACTTTTTAGATCTAATAAATTTTCAATAATCGTGATTATCAAACATAGACATATTTAATATTATAATTAATAGGATTTAAAAACTAAAATAAAATCAAGATTAGATCTATATATGATTAATAATAACATATTAATAGAATAAATTAACAAAAAATATAAATTCAATAATATATTTATAGATATAACTTTGTATTAAGTTAAATAGAAAGTATTTAACTTCTTAATTCTTTTATTGACAAATTGAATATTAACAATCACATAATTAAAAATTTATCAATTATTTACTTTTAATCAAATAATCTGATGTATTGAATATTAACTAATTTATAACTCATTTATGTTTTGACAAATAAATATCAATAACTAAGAAACATTTTTAATATACTCAAACTAGTAGTTCTCTATCTTATTTAAAATAAATCATTTTACTTTTTAAGAATAGATTTTTCATATTATGAAGATTTTATAAAGCTACTATCAAATCAAATAAATGAAAGTCTTGAATTTTATAAAGATTATGATCTTTTAGATGCTTACATAGTTAAAAATATTCGACAAAAAAACTCATCAGAAATCATTTCAATCATATATCATCTTTCTATAAATATTTCAATTAATCATATATCATTTATCATCAAATCAATAATGTAAGTTCAGGAATTACTAAAAAGAATCAAATTAAAAGTAGAGATTGCAGGAACTAATTGTAAGAAATGCAGATCTGCTTCTTTATAAGTTATGTTAAGAATTTAAATTTAGACTTATTATCATATAAGTTATTTATATCTAATGCATAAGTCATATAATTTTGACATTTGACTTCCAAAATCATTTGCCATCTAATAAATATTCATACAATTATGATTATGGAGTCTATTCACAATTTGAATATGCACAGTCAATCAAATTATAAGAATTTTCATTCTTTTTCAAACAGGCTAACAAATTTATTAATATTTTGATTTACATAGAACATTAGAAAATGGTTTACTTTTGCTACCTTATTTAGGTGGCTTATCAACTTTGGGTCTGCATTTATTCAATTATAATTAACAAGACATGTCATCGTAACATAATTTTAATTATTCTGGACATTTCTCTCTTATACATTGTTGTGTCTGTTCATTAAAATGGATTCTTTTGCTCAATAAAATTGTCATGATTGACAATAAAATTGCAATTTAAATTAGTTTCATATTTTTAAAATATTGAATAAAAAGACAATAGTATAATATCAGGCCTATCATTGTAATATTTTGCAATCATGGTTCATGCATATAAAGTATTCATCATTATTAATAAAATATATTGATTATTTTTAATATAATGTCTTTAATCAATTTGTGATTATATGGGACCATTAATTTTTTTCATATTATCAACTTAGTAATTATTTCAATTAATGTTATTACTTATCACAAACCTGAGGTTTTATTGTATCTTTAATACTATTTCATACATTATAAAACTAAGTTAACCGGTTCTTAAGAATCTTATTTACTTTTCACAATCTATTTTGTAATTAATTGATTGTAATAAGTTTAAATAAATTACAATTTTTACCTTTAAATCAATTATTGAAACATATATTCGATAAAAAGATATGGGTTTACTCACTTTTTTAAAAAAATAAAGAATAAAAGAATAATAACTTATTAATTATTAATATTTGCTTATCTTAGATTTATTTAAATGTGCATAAAACTAATAATCTAAATAAGAATGGAAGTAAATAAATATGAATTATATTTAAATATATATATAATGAGAAACAATTTTCTATAAATTAATAAAGACTTTCAATTATTTAAAAGATATATTTGGAATTGATAGTCATAATGTATCTTTATTATTGAAAATTTTGTAATATAAAAATATTATTAGACAATAAAATAAAGTAAATTATACTATATTTTCTATATTTCTAAAGTATTTCTCTCAGCTATTCCATTAATTCCTTCTCATAATAATTTATTTTTGGAATTCTTAGTTTAAGGTTTCAGAAACAGTTCAAATAATGAGAAAAGTTTACATATTTGTTAAAGTTTGACTACTAAGATGTTGTCTCTTTTTTATAGAATTTATTTTCAGTAATATTTCAATATTTAATGTTAATTAATAATATATTATGATTAGAATTTCAATATTAGACTGTTTTACAATATATATTACGATTAATTTGAGATCTTAGTTTTTTATTTTCTTAATGCAATATATTTAACTCTTAGATTATAGATTTAAGATCTTTTTTTTAGACAGGTTAGGGTCTAGGAGTTTGAGATAGATATGGACTAGGCTTTCTTATATAAGTGAATTTATTGTTTTATTTAGCTAATTTTTGTAGTAGAAATTTATCTTTGGTAAATCTAGAAATATCTAAATACCTATTGATTTATGCATTTGACCATAGATCACATATATTCATTGTTCCTTTAGGATACAATATAATATGAAACCTGTTCTTTATAAATTTGTGCCTTTTTAAAATTGCTTTATATATATATTTTCTTATCTTTCTTCTGTTTTGAATGCAAATTTGAGATAAGTTAATTCATTTTCTTTCAATAGTTCATTAAAATCCATCAATTTTTTACTTCTTTCTTATTCTATTGAATGAAGTAAAGCTGCTCTGAAACGAGGACTATCTTATTTCATAATATATAAAATTATTTATATTTATTTAATGACCCAGATGAGAGAGAGATAATAAATTTTTTGAAAAAATTAAAAAAAATCAAAATCTTTTTGCATGACTCAAGGAAAGAATAAGAAATTAGGAAAGAAGAAGGGATAAAAGAAAACAATTGACCCATTAGCTAGAAAGGAATGGTTTGAATTAACAGCACCTGTACCCTTCAGTGCTGGTGGATTTGGCTATACTTGCATTAATAAATCTGCAGGAACAGGTATTTGATTATATATAAAGTTTTAAGTTGTGGCTACCGAAGCAATTAAAGGAAGAGTGGTAGAAGCATCTTTAGCTGACCTTTAAGGATAATCAGATTAAATGGCATGGAGAAAAGTGAAATTGATTATAGATGATGTTGAAGGTACAAGATGTAGAACATCCTTCTATGGTCTTGATTCAACAAAGGATAAGATCTTCGGTATGATTAAAAAGCGATAAACTTTGATTGAAGTATTTTAGTTTATCATTCTTTTAGACTTAAGTTGAAGCCAGATCTCAAGATGGATATATCCTCAGAATCTTTGTTATTGCATTTACTAAGTCAATTAAAAATCAATAAAGAAAAACAACATATGCTTAAAGAAGTCAAATCAAAGATATCAGAAAGAAGATCGTCGAAATTGTCCTTAAGGAAGTCTCTAAAAAATCAATTACCTAATTGCTTAACTTCTTCAATCAAGAGACTCTTGCCAAAGAAATTGGAAAAGCTACCAGAGCTATTTTCCCATTGTAAAACATTACATTGAGAAAAGTCAAATTAGTCAAGAGACCCAAGGTTGATGGTATATATAGTAAATTAATTAAATCTAGCTTAAAAATTAAGAGAATTTTATGATGATTCTTAAAGATCAAAGACATCTTAAGTTAGAAGAAAAGGATAAGCTGAAGATTAAACTGCTCTTAATCTTATTAAATAAGGAGAAATTGACAAAGAATAAGCATAAGTCTAATAAGAATGATATATTACAGTATAAACAATAGTACATATATAATATTAACAAATTATTTATTATTATATTTAATATCTTCAATCTGATAATATTTCAAATATAAAGATTTTTTTTATTTTAATTTGAGGAAATAAGATGTCTTAATAAGCTCAAAAGGGTGGTAAAGGAGCATAACCTAAAACAGATGCTAAATAATAACCTGCAGCTTAAACAAAAGTTGCTAAACCATAAGAAACTAAAGAAAATGTGATGAGAAAAATTAGAATTGAAAAATTAATGGTTCATATTTGTGCTGGTGAATCAGGAGATAAATTGACTAAGGCTGCTAAAGTCTTAGAAGACCTTACAGGATAAAAGCCTGTATTTGGTAAAGCAAGATATACAGTGAGATCATTTGGTATTAGAAGAAATGAAAAGATCTCTGTCTTTTGCACAATCAGAGGTGATTAAGCAAGAGATATTCTTGTTAGAGGTTTAAGAGTTAAAGAAATGGAATTAAAGAAGAGAAACTTTTCTGATTCAGGAAACTTTGGATTTGGTATTCAAGAACATATTGATTTGGGATTAAAATATGATCCATATACAGGCATTCTATTAATATAATATCAATAGGTATCTTCGGTATGGATTTCTATGTAGTCTTATCGAGACCAGGACTTAGAGTTGCTCAAAGAAAATCAAGAAATTCTAGATTAGGCACATAATAAAGAGTAACTAAAAAAGAAGCAGTTGAATGGTTCAAATAAACCTTTGAAGGAAATGTCTATTGATACAATACAATATTACATTAAATACATATAAAATGCTTTATATTTATCTATTATATTATTATATCCACTATATATTTCTTTTCTATATTTCATTTAGTCTATTCTCTACATCTATTATAATTTTTGACATCAAAATATTACTTTAATGTATTCTTTAATTAATTATTATATAATGTCATTGTTCTCTAAATTTACATCCATTTTTGGTTCAAATCAAACTACTTAGGCATCAAGCACTCCTATAAATCAATAATTATAAGAGATATTGACATAAATAATTACTTCAAATGGAAAATTAGATATGAAGCAAAAGGGTGAAGTTTTAGCATAATATTTATTAGATAGAGATGGTAAATTATAATAAATTTAATTATAGAGCATATTGAGTTTCTATTTTAGTTTTTAGAAACTAAATCTAAAGATCTTTAAGGCGTTCAAGTAGTAAACTTATTAGCAGCTATACATTAACAATTTTAATATAATGAATTAATTTAGGATGTGGCAATAAAGTTAAGAGAAACAAAAATGTCTTGGGTCTAATTGGAGAAATAGGAATGGTATTCTACATAAACAGAACCTGATTAATAAAAATATTAGCAAAATTAAAAGATTTTGACTGAATATGAGGATAAGGCATAACCAGCTCGAATTTATGCTTAATTGTGTTATGTTTATTTATAAAAATTGGCAGCCAACGTTGATCTTTATAGAGCAGTATTGAAATTTACGTATCCTTATGTTACAGATAAAGAATATATTGAAGCAAAACTGATATTTTTATGGCATTACAAAATATAAAATCTAATAAATTCAGGATCTATATTGATACAATTTAATCCAAATTTAATAGAAATATAATTAGCATTATATTTAGATGTATGGAGATTTTAAAAGTTTATTTGTACTGAAATTGAAAAAATCATAGATTAATATGCTACTTTACCAAATAGTGATACTTTAAGTCTTTATGAGATTTATTGTGAAAGTATAAAACATTATGAACATTTGAATCAATTTCATCAATTTACTTAAACTATAACAAAACCTCCTCCTTAATGTTAAATCAATAATACACTTCTTTAAGAATTCTTTGCATTTGTAACAAAATTAAAAGTTTTAAATTAATTCAATTTCAAAAAGTCTATAAAAGTTCCTAATAAATAGGATCCTATAATGGGTATTCCAACTAAAAATCCAAATGTATTATTTAATTTCATATATATATAGGTTATAAATATTAGGAGATCAAGTTAACAATTAGATGATTCATAAAGTAATGAATCAGAATAAGAAGATGATTTTACAAATAATAAAAAATTTAGATCTGATCATAATAGAGTGTAAAGTACATTTTAATATGTGTAAAAATGATTTATGTATTTTCTTATTGATGATTTTGATTTAATTAACTTAAAGAATTATAAATATATATATATATATATTATTATATATATATATATTTAGTGAAAAGTTTGAGAATAGAATAATTATCTATACTTTAAGAACTTTGATAAGTTAGACTATTTAGTATCAATAAATTAAGATAGAATATATTCAAAATAGTTTACTATATTTGATTGGGCAAATTCTGCTTAATTTGAATTTAATAACCGGGAATATATTGGCGGCTGAATAATATATTAAATTTTATGGAAATCACTAATTGTTAACATCCAAATCATGATTCTCAACGCATCAAATATGTTTGTGTTGATCCTTAATGCTCTATTCCCAAAAAAATAGGTATTGCATTTTGAGATTTTAGGTTGTGCTGATTGTTTTCTTGATGATCACATTACTCATATTAGAAAAACAACTACTTAATTCAAAGATTTTGTAAATGAATCCATTTAACAAATCAATTAAGTTGAATTTCAATAAGCTTCTAATTCACCTCAAAAGGATTTAGAAAAGTAAATTGATACAGAATTAGACAGCTGTATGGATTGTATAAAATAAAAATTCAATTCAATTAAAGGGGATCTCAAAGGATAAATTGATAGTGATATGATTAAAATATCAGATAATTGCACTTAATATTAATAAAATATGAATAATGAACTTGAACCTTTTAAAACAACTATTAGAAATGATTTACATATTTTAAATTAAACTGAACTCAATTCATTAGTTAAATTTTATTAAGAAGCACCTAAAATACATAAACATTATAGTAAAGCAGCAGAATAAATATAAGAAGAAAAATAAAAGATTAAATAAAAAAAATAAAAATACTTAGCAAAAATGCGAAGTATTATGCAAATATTACTAAAGGATTTTAATGAATTAATGACATCTAAAAATGTATAATTTGATGATTGTTGTGATTATGAAACACCTCAAAAATAAATTATGTCACCAAATAAAATGATTAATTTAGTAGAAACAGCACGTTCTTCAAGAAGATTCCCTATGTCATAAACATAAAAAAAATATTTCTTAGCTGCTGTAACCAAAAAGTTGGAATGATCTAGTTTATTTATTTATATATAATTAAAATCATTTATTTTAGGCTTTTTTATAATCTTCTTTACATCCTTAAATAATCTTTTTAAAATCACTCAAATACAAAGATATTATTTTTAATTTCTACATTGCCTATTAACTTTTAACTTCATAATTGTCTTCTTCTTCTTCTTCTTTTTCATCTTTATTTTATTATTTCTTATTATCTTCTTTCTTTACTTTTTTATCATCTTTTTTATTATTCTCTTATTTTGTTTCTTCCAATTCATGTTTTATCTTCTATGTTCCTTCTTAACATCTATTAAATAAATTATCTATAGCCATTAAAATTCTTCCTAAACTTAAATTCTTAGATGATGCTTCATTTGCAGATGCCTCTACTAATTATTATAATTAATTTCTCTCTGCTATTTTTTCTTCCAATTTCTTTTGAAGTTCTTTAATATCATTATTCAATTATAATATTTCATGATTTTTATCCTTCTCATATTAAGTTGATTCATATTTTAATTTTTCATATTCTTTTTCCATTGCTTAATGTTCTTCTACTAATTTAGAATTCTAACTAGACAATGTACTATGTCTCTCTAATATAGATGCCATATCATGATATTATTCTGGATATTGTTTTGCAACACTATCTAAATATTCTTCATATTTTTTCATTGAAGTAACTGTCTTGATATTAATCTATACATACCCTTCTTTTCTAATTTTTATTATTTCTTTTCCAATTCTTACAATTATCCATTCAAATCTTAAATTTCTTTTTCTTTCTATATTTTTTATCTTCTTTCTTCCTCTAATCTACCTTCAGCTCTCTTCTTTTTTGCTTCATTATCTTATAAAAATTTGCAAAATTTAATTAAAGACTCTTAAATTTCCATATCCTTTTATCTAATCTTTTCTTCCTCTTATTTAAACTTATCTTCCTATCTAATATTTTTCTATTAATTTACTTCTTAAATTCTTCTCTTTATGCTTCAAATGCTTCATGCACTTCATACATTTTTCTTCTCTTTTCTAGTAATTTAGTAGCTGGACTAACAGTATCATATTATAAATGATTAGGTAATTTTCTTTTCTCTTATTTATTCATTAATAATATATATATATATATTTAATATCATTTTATTTTTTATTCTTTCGATTTACCTAATTCTCCTTTACAATTATCTATTATCTTTTTGAAATCTGACATAAATTATACTATTTATTTCAATTTCCAAGCAGCTTATTAACCTAAAATAAAAATTATTATTAACTTTTTAATTCATAATTATCTTCATCATTAAATTATAAATCTTAATTTTATATTTTATTATTTGTAATTTTATCCTTCACTTTCTCTTTATTTTGTTTATCCTACTTATACTCTTCAAAATCTTATTTCATTCTCTAAGTTCCTTCCTAACAACGTGTAAATAGATTATCAACAGCCATCAATATTCTACCCAAACTTAAGTTTTTAGATGAAGCATCATTAGTTGTTGCTTCATAAACACTTTAAATTTGATTTCTTTCAGATGCCTTCTCTTCCAATTTCTTTTATAAATCCTTAATATCATTATTTAATTAAAGAATTTCATGATTCTTCTCCTTTTCATATTATGTTGATTCATATTTAAGTTTCTCAAATTCCTTCTCCATATTCTAATGTTCTTCAACTAACTTTGAATTAGAATTTGTTAATGTTGCATATCTATCCAAAATTGATTATAAATCATGATATTATTCTGGATATTACTTTATGATACTATCCAAATAATCTTCATACTTCTTTAAAGATGTAACTTAAGATATATGAATTATACTAGTTTACCTTTCTTTTCCAATCTCTATTGATGTCTTTATAAATCAGTCCATTATGCAGTTAAATCTTATATTTCCTTCTCTTTCTATTCTTTATATGATTTCTCCTCTTAAAACCTAACTAATGCTCTCTTTTTCTTTGCCTCATTTTCCTATAAGAAATTACAAAACTTTATCAATTCTTCTTATATTTATTTGTCTTTCTCTCTTATTTATTCCTCTTATTTCTTGAATTCCTCTTCCTGTCTTAGAAAGTTTCAAGTAATATATATACTTTTTATATTCATCTTATTGATGTTCATATGCTTCATGTATCTCATACATCTTTCTTCTCTTTTCTAATAATTTAGTTGCTGGAGAGGCTGCATCAAATTATTTTACTGTAGAAGACTTTTTGATAACTTTTTTTTACATAAATTATTAAAAATGAATTTCTTTCGTCCTCCTTTAACTTCTTTTATTAAAACTCTTGCTGATCCATAATTGGAATCAGAACAATTTATGATTGGTAATGAATCTATTACAAGCAAGAAGGATGTTATTAGATAGTTACAAGAGTAAATCCTATATTTTAAGGAGGCTCATAATTTTACATAGTCAGAAATAGAAGTGATAAGATAATTTGAATTACTCATAGAAAGCAAATATAAGAGAAGAGCCAATGACATTCAGTCTCATAGTCAACTTACAAATTTAACAAGGAAAAAGAAGTCAGAATTGTTTAGAATGAAGCGTGTAAAGAAAAGAGCTAAGATCAAGGTATATGCTAAGAAAATTAATGCAGCAAGAAATAGATTTCGAATATTGGGTTAATTCATATCAAATGAAGAGATTCAAATAATAGAGGAAACATTTGGTTCATATGTTTTCAGTGACAATCATAATTTCAGTCTTAAGATTGGAAGGGCTTTGAAAAATAAATTTGGATATGAATATTATGATAAATCTTAAGTCATAAAGGAGATTAAAAGTATAAAGAGATAACAAGACCAGATTTTGAGTCGTATATAGGGAAATAAATAAATATTTTGCATAAAAACTAAATAATTAAAATAATGAATGAATTACTTAATTATGCTCTTGCAAAATGTTTCCAAGAAAATATCTTAAATGTTGTAAAAGTGAAGACAAGAGTACATAATCCCTTGCTCACTTCTGGTTCCTAAGTTATAGATTTACCATAAAGAAATTAATCAAATTTTATGTCAAAAAAGTCTCATCCTTCATGCGATTTTTAATTAGAAACGGAACTTGAATATTCTCATTGTAAAATTAGATAGAGATCTATAAATGATGTCTAATTACCTCACATTTAGTTAGATGCTATAAACAGAAACTTCTTTGATAATTAAAATATTAACGATTCAGATTGTCCAACAACTAAGAGATATGATAGATTTAGATCATTTTCTACAAAAGCAAATAAGAATCATAAAAAAGGTTACTTAGGTCTTGATATTAACTATTAACAAATAACATTAATTTATAAGAAATTACTGATAAAATTAAATTCAGAATTTACAAAATTCTAAGTATTTTTTATTTATAATATATATATTAGTTAACATTGTATTTAACCTAATATATTGGATGTTTGGATTATGTTAGTAAATTATTAAATTTATTAAACTTTCCATCTAAAATAACATTACCATCTTTTAAATAATTGATTTATTAGATTTAAGAAATGCAATAAATTGGTATAAATAATGTAATATAGAGATTCTATAATGTATATTTTAAACATTTGATCTTGATTGCAAAGGATTCATTTCATCATCTGATTTATTTAAAATGTTTACATCAAATGGAGCAATTTAAAAAGATGTAGATTTTATTTATAAAAATGTTCCTATTGAAAATGAAAGAGAGAAAAAACTTTAAAAGATATATTTATGTGAATTTAAAGAAAAACCAAGACCAATGTTAATAACAATGATGAAAAACTCTCCTAGAAATAAATATAAAATTAAATAATTTTAAGGGAATATTATTAATTTTGAAATGTTTTGCAAAATATACAATAAAGAAATACCTGAATTTTTTAAGGAATTTATTAGTATAATGTTTTATAATTATATTTGATAATTTATTTTAATATTTAATAGAATTATGTATGTCAATGAAGCAGATGATAATTGGTACTCAATTGATGATGCCCATCCATTAAATCAAGATTAATGGTGTTATTCAATAGTTTTTAACAAAGATGGCAATATTATAATTAGTTGTTCAGGAAAATTCATTAAAGTTTGGAAATTTCAAGGAGGAAATATGACCTATGAAAAAAAGAAATATGTAATAAAGGCTCATAAAAAAGATATTAATACATTAAGTTATAGTAAATAATAAAATATGTTTATCTCTGGAAGTGATGATAATACAATAAAAATATGGACATTAAATGCAAATAATACATTTTAATAATCATAAGAGATTATAACATAATCTTGGCCTTTATCTTCTTTGTTGAAACAAGATGATTCATAATTATTTGCTGGATTATGGAATGGTAATTTATTAATATTTAATAAAAATGGAAATGAATATAAATTATAAAAAGAAATTTAATCTCATAAAAGTTAGATTTATAGCATAAGTTTAAATGATTCTTAAGATACACTTTTAACATTAGGTTGGGATAAGTAAATTAAAATTTATTTACCAGATGGAAATATTTGGTAAGAAACTTCAAATGTTATACTTGATAAAAATGGATTTAGAGCTAGTTTCATTAGTGATGATTAGATTATATATTAACCTTTAGAATCAGGAAGTACATAATTTTTTTAATTTAATAAAAATAAAAAGATGATATACAATTAAAATATAGCTTTGAATATTGGAGTTGCTAAAGAAGATAAAGCTTTCTTTCCAATATAATGGAATAAATAAAAAGGATTATTCACTATCAAATTAGAAAAGAAATTATATGTGATTAAGAAAGAAAATGATAATAAATGTTAAATTGTTAAAACTTTTGACTTTTCAGATGAAAGAACATTTGGTGCAGTTACTCCAAACTTTGATTATGTTATTGTTTGGAATAAGAAGGTTAAAGGATATGAAAAATAAGCAATATGAATCATTTATTATTAATGTTATAATTTAATTATGATTATTATATAACTAATAATAATTATAACAAATAAAAAATATTTATTAAATTAATTTATAGAAAGATATCTTATTAGGTTATTTTGGAGATCAAAAAATTAATGATTATTATCCATCTGCAGAATTTACCTATCGAATATTGAAGACCATATATTGTTTTATATAAGAAGTGTAACAATACTTAGATTCCTATATAAACAATTTATTATAGGAAGATTATATTTTAAGATTATAAGATAAATTAATTTGATCAATTCTTTCATTTATATTTCATACTAAAATTTACTTTAAGAAATATTTTAATCAATAAATTATTAAATTCAAAAAAAATAAACATAAGTTAGTTGATTCATTAGTAATCTAAATAATATAATCTTAATAATTAATTAGAATTATCTGAGTCAATATAATCAGTGTATTTGATTGTCTTACTATATATAACTTATATAATTTAATATTATTTATAGTAGACTACTCCTATTGAAATTTAACTATTTATATTATTTTTTTAAATCAAAGAACTTTCATTAGAAATTAAGTCATTAAGATATTTCAATAATTTCTGAATTATAACTTAATGTTCATTATCACTGATATTTTGATTCTTCTTAAAGATGCTATTATAATTAAATCACTATTATTAATATATAGTTATAAAATTGAATTTTATGAATTATTCAAGTGGATGATTATTTAAAATAATACAATATATTTAAATTAATAGTTAATAAATTAGTTTATTATCTATATGAAATTTTTATAATTAATCACTTCTACTTCAACTTTTTTTATTATTTAACATTGTTCTTTTGAATTTTAGTTCTATTAATGTATTTTATTTTCATTTATTTATTATATCCTTAAGAACATTACTTATTATCTGCATTAATAGTTTTTTCTTTAATTAAATTGTCATTCTCTAAACTTTCTTCATGATCATATAATTAAGATTCCTCTTCTTCAAAATTTTAGACATCAAAATTAACTTTATTCTCAGTTTACTAATTATCTAATAAATCATTAAAAGTTTGGTCATTTGTATCATAATATTCATATAGACTTATTATTTCTTCTTAACAATCTTCAGGTATGTCGTTGTCTTAAATTAAATAATATAAATCCATTTATGATTATAGATTAAGTTCATTAAGATCATTTTCATTATATTCATACACTATTTCTTCATAATATTCCAATATTTCTATCAATTTTTAATAGAGTTACCTTCAAACCAATGCTCTTGATTATCTATAATTTTCTTAATTTGATATTAATCGTTTTTCACTTATAATTAGATTTTCTTATTATGATTGCTCAGATCTCTAACATAAATGTATATAAATACTTGAAATTATTGATGATTCAATTAAAGATATTATGATCACTAACATAAAATAATTCAATTTCATAAAAACGTATTTTTAATATTAACATCATTTATAAAATTAAATATTTAAGTAAAATTTAATCAATCATTAAATTTATTATCTATCTTTTTTATATGATATATATCACTAAAAATAACAATCCTATCCATTAAAATTGTTAAATAATAAATATTCAATAATCATAATAAAGACAGCAATGTAAAGATTGAAAAGAAAAAATAAAATCTATTTATTTCAATGATCAATAGAATTTAAAATTATTACCAAAAGAAGAATAAGGATTATTGAAATACTAAATATATAACTAACTAAGTTTTAATTTATTAAGAATTTTAATGTGATATTGTTATTAAAATATGAATTAAATACATAATANTATAGTAGACTACTCCTATTGAAATTTAACTATTTATATTATTTTTTTAAATCAAAGAACTTTCATTAGAAATTAAGTCATTAAGATATTTCAATAATTTCTGAATTATAACTTAATGTTCATTATCACTGATATTTTGATTCTTCTTAAAGATGCTATTATAATTAAATCACTATTATTAATATATAGTTATAAAATTGAATTTTATGAATTATTCAAGTGGATGATTATTTAAAATAATACAATATATTTAAATTAATAGTTAATAAATTAGTTTATTATCTATATGAAATTTTTATAATTAATCACTTCTACTTCAACTTTTTTTATTATTTAACATTGTTCTTTTGAATTTTAGTTCTATTAATGTATTTTATTTTCATTTATTTATTATATCCTTAAGAACATTACTTATTATCTGCATTAATAGTTTTTTCTTTAATTAAATTGTCATTCTCTAAACTTTCTTCATGATCATATAATTAAGATTCCTCTTCTTCAAAATTTTAGACATCAAAATTAACTTTATTCTCAGTTTACTAATTATCTAATAAATCATTAAAAGTTTGGTCATTTGTATCATAATATTCATATAGACTTATTATTTCTTCTTAACAATCTTCAGGTATGTCGTTGTCTTAAATTAAATAATATAAATCCATTTATGATTATAGATTAAGTTCATTAAGATCATTTTCATTATATTCATACACTATTTCTTCATAATATTCCAATATTTCTATCAATTTTTAATAGAGTTACCTTCAAACCAATGCTCTTGATTATCTATAATTTTCTTAATTTGATATTAATCGTTTTTCACTTATAATTAGATTTTCTTATTATGATTGCTCAGATCTCTAACATAAATGTATATAAATACTTGAAATTATTGATGATTCAATTAAAGATATTATGATCACTAACATAAAATAATTCAATTTCATAAAAACGTATTTTTAATATTAACATCATTTATAAAATTAAATATTTAAGTAAAATTTAATCAATCATTAAATTTATTATCTATCTTTTTTATATGATATATATCACTAAAAATAACAATCCTATCCATTAAAATTGTTAAATAATAAATATTCAATAATCATAATAAAGACAGCAATGTAAAGATTGAAAAGAAAAAATAAAATCTATTTATTTCAATGATCAATAGAATTTAAAATTATTACCAAAAGAAGAATAAGGATTATTGAAATACTAAATATATAACTAACTAAGTTTTAATTTATTAAGAATTTTAATGTGATATTGTTATTAAAATATGAATTAAATACATAATAGATTAAAAATAATCTTATTTTTGTTTATAGAGTGATTTCTTTTATTTAATTGGAAATCTATTAAAAAAAATAGAGAATTTGAAGTGATTCAGAATTGCTTTAATAATATATAATATGAATAATTAAAAAATAGTATAAGTTCTATATATTATAAATGAATACATATATGTAGGATATTTAAGGAATAATAAAGTGAACTTTTTCACTAAGTGAAGTAAATATCAAGATATTTTTAAATTAAAATTAAAATTTCATGAGTCGTCCTTCAGCTTCAACTTCAAGTAGTAGTAGAAGTTCAAGATCTAGATATGGAAAAGAAGTCAAAGAATTACAAGATGCCTTGAATTAAAACAAAATAGAGTCTAAAAGAGATGCCATCAGAAAAGTACTTTGAATTATAATTCATAGATTATTGATGCTATGACAAGAGGCAAAGATGTTAGTATGTTATTTCCAGATGTGGCAAAGAATATGGAAACATCAAATTTAGAATTAAAAAAGTTAGTGTACTTGTACATAATCAATTATGCCAAAATTATGCCTGATCTTGCTGTTATGGCTGTCAATAGTTTTCGTAAGGATGCAAGAGATAAGACAAATCCATTTCTTAGAGCTTTAGCTATCAGAACAATGGGATGTATTAGAGTAAAATTGATTACAGAATATTTATTGGATCCATTAAAAGAATCCATCAAAGTAATTAATATATATATATATTATAAGGATGAAGATTCATATGTAAGAAAGACAGCAGCTATTTGTATTTCTAAATTATATGATGTGTCACCTGAACTAATTGAAGAATAGGGTTTATTAAAACTTCTTGAGAATTTGTTGAATGATGGAAATGCAATGGTTGTTGCAAATGCTGTTTGTGCATTATTGATTGTACAAGAATCAAAAGGAACAACTATGTTATAATTGAATCCTTATACAATTTAAAAAATATTGACAGCTATGAATGAATGCAATGAATGGGGTGTTATATATTGTTTAGATGCTTTGGCTATGTATATTCCTGAAGATGGAAAAGAAGCAGAAGCGTAATTTATAATTTATATTTTAAGAATATTAGAAAGAGTTAGTCCTAGATTAAATCATAATAATCCTGGAGTAGTATTATCAGCATGTAAAATTATGATGAAATTTTTGGATTATCTTTAAAATCCAGAAACAATAAGATAAAATGCACTTAAAATGACTGCACCATTGATTTCACTTTTAAGTTTAGGTAAAGAACCAGAAATTTAATATGTTGCTTTAAAAAATATTAATTTAATTATTCAAAAGAGACCAATCATAATTGAAAAAGATATTAAAGTATTCTTTTGCAATTTTAATGATCCAATATATATCAAATTATAAAAATTAGAAGTCTTATCAAAATTAGCTAATAATGATAATATTCAATAGATTTTACATGAATTAAAAGAATATACTTAAGAAGTAGATGTAGAATTTGTAAGAAAATCAGTTAGAACAATAGGAAGATGTGCTATCAAATTAGAAAAAGCAGCAGAAAAATGTGTTACAGCTCTATGGGAATGTTTAAAAACTAAAGTTAATTATGTTGTTATGGAAAGCATTATTGTTATTAGAGATATATTTAGAAAGTATCCTAGAAAATATGAAATGATTCTTAAAGATCTTTGTGAAAATCTAAAAAGTCTTGAAGATCCAGAAGCAAAGGCCTCCATGATTTGGATTATTGGAGAATATGTTGATACAATAGAAAATGCTGATTCTCTTTTAGCCAATTTCAGTGAAAAGTAATTTTGATATTTAATTATAAGTTTTAAAGATGAACCTGCAAATGTATAACATTAAATTTTAGTTGCTGTTATGAAATTATTTTTATAAAGACCTAATGATGGAAAAGAATTAATTCATAATCTATTAAAAACAGCTACTATTGAATGTGAAAATCCAGATCTTAGAGATAGAGCATATATATATTGGAGAATGTTATCTACTGATCCAGAATTAGCTAAAAAAATAGTTTTTACAGAAAGACCAACTATATCTGATTCCAGTTATACAATTGAAAATGAACTATTAGATAAATTAATAGAAAATATTGGAAATTTAAGTTCTGTTTATACTAAAAAACCTGAAAGTTTTGTTAAAAAATTAAGAGATGTTTTAAATTCTAAAATTGCTGATAAAATTGATGATGTCTATGATTAAGATTAATTAATGGAAGGAAAACCTGAAGATTATAGTGATTAATAAGGAGGATAATCAAATGTTTATGAAAATAATTATGATACATCATCGTAGATTTAATCTTAAATTTAATAATCATAAATATAATAAGTTTCTTAAAAAATTGATTTATTAGAATTAGATGATAATTAACCATAATAACCATAATAATAATAATAATAATAATAACCATAAATATAAACATAAATACCTACTTAATCTATTTAAAATATTAGAATACCATTTGCTGAAGTATTGACTGCTAATACTCCAGGTTCACAAACACAAGTTTAAGGTCTATAAATTGAAACTGCATTCCAAAAAAATGGTGATAAAATTGTACTTGATCTAAAAATTACAAATAAAACATAAGATAAAACATTCTCAGATTTTGGAATCAAATTTAATAAAAATCCATTCAAATTATAACCTGATACTATTGAAATATAATGTCAACCTGTATTTCCAGGTTAAACACAAATTGCTTAATCATTAATCAATACAAATGGACCTGCCTTTGAAGAACCACCATAAATGCCATATAAAATTTAAGTTGCTCTAAAAACTAATTTGGATGTATTCTATTTCTTTATACNATGTGCTATCAAATTAGAAAAAGCAGCAGAAAAATGTGTTACAGCTCTATGGGAATGTTTAAAAACTAAAGTTAATTATGTTGTTATGGAAAGCATTATTGTTATTAGAGATATATTTAGAAAGTATCCTAGAAAATATGAAATGATTCTTAAAGATCTTTGTGAAAATCTAAAAAGTCTTGAAGATCCAGAAGCAAAGGCCTCCATGATTTGGATTATTGGAGAATATGTTGATACAATAGAAAATGCTGATTCTCTTTTAGCCAATTTCAGTGAAAAGTAATTTTGATATTTAATTATAAGTTTTAAAGATGAACCTGCAAATGTATAACATTAAATTTTAGTTGCTGTTATGAAATTATTTTTATAAAGACCTAATGATGGAAAAGAATTAATTCATAATCTATTAAAAACAGCTACTATTGAATGTGAAAATCCAGATCTTAGAGATAGAGCATATATATATTGGAGAATGTTATCTACTGATCCAGAATTAGCTAAAAAAATAGTTTTTACAGAAAGACCAACTATTTCTGATTCCAGTTATACAATTGAAAATGAACTATTAGATAAATTAATAGAAAATATTGGAAATTTAAGTTCTGTTTATACTAAAAAACCTGAAAGTTTTGTTAAAAAATTAAGAGATGTATTAAATTCTAAAATCGCTGATAAAATTGATGATGTCTATGATTAAGATTAATTAATGGAAGGAAGACCTGAAGATTATAGTGATTAATAGGCAGGATAATCAACTGTTTATGAAAATAATTATGATACATCATCATAGATTTAATCTTAAATTTAATAATCATAAATATAATAAGTTTCTTAAAAAATTGATTTATTAGAATTGGATGATAATTAACCATAATAATAATAATAATAATAACAATAAATATAAACATAAATACCTACTTAATCTATTTAAAATATTAGAATTCCATTTGCTGAAGTATTAACTGCTATTACTCCAGGTTCATAAACATAAATTTAAGGATTATCAATTGAAGCTGCATTCCAAAAAAATGGAGATAAAATTGTACTTGATCTTAAATTTACAAATAAAACATAAGATAAAACATTCTCAGAATTTGGAATCAAATTTAATAAAAATCCATTTAAATTATAACCTGATACTATTGAAATATCTTGTCAACCAGTATTTCCAGGTTAAACACAAATTGCTTAATTATCCATAAATACAAATGGTCCTGCCTTAGAAGAACCTCCATAAATGCCATATAAAATTTAAGTTGCTTTAAAGACTAATTTAGATGTATTCTATTTCTTTATTCCAATGTCTTTAAGTGTTTTATTTGTAATATAATTACTTATAATTTTAGAGTAGCACTGCAAGTATAACTTAATAAAAATTCATTGAATTGAGTTAAGCATAAAATTTAGCAAGAAAACAAGAAGTTCTTTAGATTACAATTGATCCATAGAGAGTAAAATATATTCAAATTATAATTTTAGATGAAAGAAAAATTTGAACGCAATTACTTTTTCTTAATTGGAACTAGAAAGGATGAAAGAGGTGTTGAATTACTATCCTATGCAGCTACATTAGTTAATGGAATGCCATTATTAGTGAATGTAATCCATACATAAACTGCAATCAATTTACAACTATAGGTTCCTCATCCGACATTAATGCCATTATTATATTAAGCAATAGGATTTATTTTAACATTAAATTGATATATAACATAAAATATAATAAAGTTTATTTAAGAGTATTATAATTTATCTTTTAAATTTAATAATTATTTTTTTTATTATCCTTTTTTTAAAAACTATAAAATATCATTTAAAAATCTGAAATTTTGAATTATTTCATTCAAGATAAATAAGAAATTTTAGATATTCAATATTTAAATGATAAATAATAATTAATAAATAAAAAGATCAAATATATTGTTGTTAGATGTTAATTTTGGCCATAAATTTTATAAATTATAATTGGTTAATATAATTATTTAATGATATTAACCAATTTTAATTAAAGAGAAATACTTAAATGAAATTATGAAAAATAAATTCTTAATATAATAGATTTTTTTAATTTGATTAATTGTTTTCCTTATTTCATATATATAATTTGATTAATTGTTTTCCTTATTTCATATATATAATTTGATTAACAAATATAATAATGATTTAATAGAAAATAGTTTATCAATTTGATTAATTGCAAAAAGAATACCATTATATTAATTTTTATATATTTAATTTCTTTTAAAAATAAAATAGATAAAAAATGCCTTACTCATATAATTATTTATTTTTTAATTATTACATTTATAAATCTTTGAATTTAACTTATAATATTGAACTTATTGTCATCTTAAAATATTAATGAAATGATTTTAAGAATTATCCCTTTCTTCTTATTCAATAATTAAATTTGTCAGATTATTTTCAAACTGAATAAATAAAATGGAATTAAAATCTAATTTCAGTGGCAAATCATCTTTAGAAGTAAATAAATCTAAGACTGAAAAATTACTAACTGAAATCAAATTAATTTGCTTCTAAGTCACATAGCTTTTATTAAAGAATGAAGAATCATCAATAGTGTTAAACAATTTAGCCATAATTGTGTAGTTTTTTTAGGTGACATATATCCTATTTAATCGTCAAATATGGCCAGTTTGGATGACTTATGATGTCTCACGTTAAATAAATAAAATTTTAGGGTAATACTATTATATTAAAGAAGATATTCATTATTAGTTCCCTATTTTGAAATGGTTTCCTTTATTGGATTAATTTCAATTATGTATACTTGTTTAGGATTAGTGTTATTTGGTTACATGTTAGTAATTTTGCTTAATTATAGATTATAATTAAACTTTTCATGGATAACAGAAATTTTGAGAGCATTTATTAAGCTCTTTTTATCAATTTTATACATGCCTATAATGGATTTATTTTTTTCAATCTTTGCTTGTACTAAAAATGAAAATGGAAATTCTGTTCATTAGTTATTTTCTGATATAAAATGTTGGGAAGGAACACATATAGTACATGGAATTGTTTCAATATTTGGAATTATAATTTTTTATCTTTTTTGCATTACATTTGCACTTATATATTATGAACCTCGTTATATACCTTTAAATCCATAATCAAAAAAGAATGGAAGATTTCTAGTTGTATTTCTAACTTATGAACTTATTATGATTATATGTTATACTTTTATGGTTGGGAAATAGTATGATTATATATTTATTTTGATACTTGTTATTGGAAGCTTTTTAGTCTTTTGGATAATGCATGTTGAGAATCCTCATAACAATAAATATATTGCTAAAGCATGGTCTGTTTTGGCTGCAGTAAATATGTGGGGTGTAATCATATTATGTTTTGCTAAATTCTTAGAAGGATAATTATTTTTTGGAACTATTTATGCTTGGTTATTTGGATTACCATTTATGATAGCTGCTGTATTGAAGACAGATAAATTAAATTATGAATTGTTATTGACTAATTTAAATAAAGTGTCTGATCCTTAAGAAGTCCTTAATTTAACAGATTATTTAATCCAATTGTATAAAACTTAAGATTCTGATTCCTAATTGATGATTGATGGTTTTCTAGAAATACATAGAGCAACTTGTGCCAAAGAAGATTGTTATCTCAAATAAAAAAGATGTAATAATCAAAGAATTTTAAAATCTTTCTTTAAAGATCTTACTTTATCTGAAAGAGATGTAGACATTTTGATGGTATTAGGATAAGTGTATTTTAATTAAATCAAAAGATTTCCAAATAATATTACCCTAAGAATAAGATATTCTCTATTTCTTTTTGATTTAATGAAATAAAGATAATAAGCCCTTAATGAGTTACTATAAGCAGAATAGTAATACCCAAGTTTTGATTATGAATTCATAATTTATAGATATAAATAGATTATCGAAATTGAGATGAATTTAACATAAACAGAAAATTCAAATGAAAAATTAGATGTAGCAACAGAAATTGCATTTTAAAATAATATGAGAAGTTTTTAAAATAAAATAGAGAGAGCAACATTAATGCATATTGATTTTTGGTCTTAATTATAAGAAGATTAACCTGATTTAGGTAAAATGAATGATATTGGATCTAAAATTAATTTAGCTATTACTTAAGTTGAAGAATTATGGAATAAAATGTAAAAAATGACATAAAATTTACCTAAAGCTATGAGATTATATGCTAAATTTATTATTGAAGTACTTTAAGATAAAGAATATGGAGAATCATTATTAGATAAATCTAAGAAATTACAATTGCAGAATTAAAAATAAAGGAATTAGTCAATGTTATCACTTTTGAATAATGATGATTTATGTTATGAATCAAATGCAACTATAATTTTATCTACAGCTCCAGAGAAATTTGCTTAAATTATCAATTTAAATCTATCTTGTTGCAATCTTTTTGGATTTGTAAAATCTGAGATGATAAATCGCAAAATAAATATATTTATGCCTAATTTATATTCTAAATTTCATGATGCATATTTTGATAGGTTTATGTAAACAAATGATAATAGAACAATAAATAAAGAAAGATTAATATATATAAAATAAAAATCAAATTACATTTCCCCTTGTTTTTTAACTCTTAAAATTATTTAGTCTTTAGATGATAATTTATAGATGGGAGCTTAATTACGTCCAATAAAAATGTTCAAACCTACTTGCTATCTGATAGTAGATAGTGATGAATTAGTAGATTCTATATCTGCATCATGTGTTGCTTTATTGAATATTGATTAGAAATAAATATCAAAAGGGAAAATAATGTTATCAGATATCTTTCCAAATTTTAGTTAATCAAAATAATAGTATTTAACTAAAAATGGGGGAATTTTAAATTATAAATTCAGTGAATAATAATTAAGTAATAAAAATATTAAGGATGAAAATGTAGAATATGAAATATATTTTACATGTTATATGAATGAAATAATTAATAATACTATTGGAGAGTTAGCAGGATATGTAGTGAGATTAGAAATATGTGGGAATGAGAAAAGTATTAATTAGGAATTGAATGTACATTATCATTATTAAGGAGGTTTATGTTTGTAATTTAAATTCAATCCTCGTTTGAATAGTTATTATGGAGAATTTGTAGCTGAAATGAATTCATAAAGAGTAGATTAAACAATAATTTGGGATTAGGGTGATCTATCATCTATGATTTCATCTAATCAACATGAAATATAGAATAATGGTAATTAATAGTAATTAATGAAAGTGAATAATATTGATTAAAAGAAGGATTAGATAGATTATGGAGAGGGGATAGTAATTGTAAGATTATTTGAGAACAGAATTTAGGATATAAATGATCCAGATATAATATCAGATGAAGAAAATGAGGATAAGAATAGTGTATTTTAGAGAAATTAAAATTAAGATTTAGAGAGATAAGGTTAATAAGAAATAAATGAAAAGAATAATATATTTAGATCAAGAAAATAATTATCTTAAATAATAAATAATTATTAGATTCCTAAAGTAATTACAAAAGTTAATTGGACTGCAAATATTTTAACTATTATTTTAGTAGTATTATCATTTACTGATTTTTTCATTATTTATGAATAATATGATGAAATTTATAAAACAATATTGTTAGTAAAAAATCAAAATTAAAGAAATGCAGAACTTCAAACAATTACTACAAGTATTTAGAATTTATTGATGTTGAATATGGATGTTTGGGAATTTTAAAATGAATTGGAATAATAAAAATATGAAACTTTATGGAAAAAGAAATTAAATTAATCAATAAATAATGTTGATATTTTGAATAAGGAATTAATGTTAACAGAAGTTAGTTTGAGTGATGTAATTTTAAATATGATGAATTCTGATGTTGTGAGTATGAAATCAAGTGAAGGTATTTCATAAATGTTTGATTTATCAGAATCTATTTAATAATTATTAAGTAAATCATTAATTATAAGAGATAAACCAATATAAGATATTAGATTAAATGATATTGATGTTAATTTTGTATTGTTTAATTCTTTAAATAGCTTAGTATTCCAATTAAGAGCTTTTTCTACATTATATGCAAATGAATTGAGAATTAAATCAGAAAATAATAAAGATACTTTTTTATTGATATTAAGTATTTCAGCTGCTGCACTTGGAGTTGGATTATTTATAATGTTAATTGCAATAGTTTCAGTAAATAAAACTATTGAAGAAATTTTAGTTATTTTTATAGATATTCCAGATAAAATGATTAAATATTTATTTAATAGAGCTGAGAATTTTATTTCTAATTTATAAATGGGAGAAGATGATGATTTAATCTCAGAAATGGATGAAATAGAAAAAGAAAATCAAAATGAATTGAATAAATAATTAAAAGCTAAAAGAAAAAGAAAGAAATATAAAAATACAAATAAAGAATAACGTAATTTTACTCTAGGAATTTTAATAATTATTCTACTTGCTTAAGGATATTTTATATTAAATTATCTATTGAGTAAAACATTCTTAACAGATCTAAATTAAATGATACCTGAAATTAATGCTACTGCTAGAGCTGAAAGTTTCTATAGATTTGTAGATATAAGTGAAAGATCGTTATTTCTAAATCGTAATCAAACAATTATGAATTAAGATGCATATGAGATTGTCAAAAATAATCTAAATGGATTATATAGCTTAGATTCATCCATACATTAAGAACATGCCTCAAATATTGAAATTACCAGTCAATTATATTTAGATTCCTATAAATAAATATTTATGGAATAACCATGTACAATAATTTCAAATTTCTTAAATGAAATAACAGAATAAGAATGTCAAGTATTTGCTGATGGAGCAGTCTATTAAGGAATGGCTGTTGGTATTGCTAGATATTTTGAAAATCTAAGATACATTATGACTATATATGATTAATTTTGGGGAAATCCAAATGTAAATTTTACATTGTTAGCTAGAGGATTTGGAAAATTTAAGAATATAACCAAAGACAGTGATAATGTAAGAAATTATATTTTAAATCTAAATAATTTCAATTAAACGAAAGAAGCTAGAGAAATGTAAGATAGTTACAACAGAGCAACATTTCGATTTCTCGTTTCTTAAATGATAGAAGGGATTAGTCAAGATATGGAAGATCATAAAACTTAAATACTTGGACTCTTTATCGTTTTTGAAGGATTGATCTTTATTGTATACTTTCTCTTATGGTTACCTTTAGTTGCCAAGTTTACTAAAGACATATGGAGAACAAGATCTATGATCTTAATGATTCCACTTAGTGTCATACAAAGTATTAAATCAATTAAGACATATATAAAAACAAATATTTAGATCAATGATGTTGAAGTTTGATTTCTTTATCTATATTAATTATAAATTAATTAAATTAAATGGAAGTAAAATCTAATTATGGATCGAATAAGAATTCATTTGAGAATGATAATATTTTAACACGTTTACAGACAGAACTAAAATTGATCATTTTCAGAGTATTCTACCTTATTCTAAAGGATGAAGAATAGTCAATTGCAATTCAAATCTTTCTGTAAGTTATTTCCCTTTTTTAATATCTCACATTCATATTTCATAGATAACTATATTTAGTTTGGAAGAACTAGAAAGTGTCTTATCAATTATATAAATTCTTTGGATATTTCATGCTAACTCCATATTTTGAAATGCTCAACTTTTCTAGCTTTGCATCAATGATGTATGCAATAATAGGAATCATCCTCATATCCATCATGATAATATTACTAATTGGATATACTAATATTAATAAGCTAAATTCATCATATAATTGGCCTGTTTATATTCTCAAATTGATTTTCATCTTATTTACTACTATACTCTATTTACCAATCCTTGATCTTTTTTTTTAAATGCTCAATTGCCGCTATGATGATAACAATTAACTCATCAATGTACTATTTGATTCAATTTGTTGGTAAGGTTCCCATGTTATTCATGCTATTGTTGCTATACTTGGAATCATCATATTCATCATTATTACAATGACTTTTAATTTACTTTATTTTGAACCAAGATATAATCACAAAGATGAATTATCCAGAATTTCTGGAAGATCAAAAGCTATTAAATGTTTTATCTTTCTCATTTTTTAAATCTCCTTTACATATATAGATTTAGATGAATTTGATTATGTTGCTATTTATATCCTTTTAATTGGATCATTTATAACTTTTTATAAATTTCATTTAGAATAACCATTTAATCATGTATTTATTTAGAAAATCTCATCTATATATGCAGCCCTTATGTTATGGAGTGCGTTGTTGATGTGTTTTTCATATTATTTAGAGGATACTATATTTCATGGAATTATTTATTCTTGGTTTGTTGGAATACCGCTTATTATATTAGCTATCTATAAAAAAGAAAAGTATCTTTATGATCTATTATTAATGAATATCAATAAAGCAGAAGATCCCAATTAAATCATACTATTAACTAATTATATTTAAAAATTATTATCAAGATATTAAACCAATTAACATTTTCATGTTATGTTAGATGCACTTATTGAAGTACATAAAAATACATGCTAAAAAGAAGATTGTGTATTTAGGATTAAAAAACAATTGAATTAAAGATTGGCAAAATCAAAAGATACAAATTTATCTTAAAGAGATTACTAGATACAATTATTAATTGGGGAGATATATTCAGGATATATTAGAAGACATTAGCATAACGTAAGATTAAGAATAAATTATGCCTTTTATTTACTTGATTTTTTAAAATAAAAATAACAATCTTTAAATGAATTGAATTAAATAGAATTATTATCACCCAGCTTGGATAATGAATTTATAATTTTTAGATATAAGAGGATAATTGAAGATGAAATGAACATGTCATAAAATGAAACTCTAAATGGTAATTTAGATGTAGCAACAGAAATAGCATTTTAAAATAATATGAGAAGTTTTTAAAATAAAATAGAGAGAGCAACATTAATGCATATGGATTTTTGGTCTTAATTATAAGAAGATTCACCTGATTTAGGTAAAATGAATGATATTGGATCTAAAATTAATTTAGCTATTACTTAAGTTGAAGAATTATGGAATAAAATGTAAAAAATGACTTAAAATTTACCTAAAGCTATGAGATTATATGCTAAATTTATTATTGAAGTACTTTAAGATAAAGAATATGGAGAATCATTATTAGATAAATCTAAATTATTATAAACATAAAATAATAAAATGAAAAATAAATAAAGTATATAGGTGTTTAGTAGTGATGATATTAATTTTGAACCATTACCTACTTTATTAGTGTCTACATCACCTGATAAATTTACATAAATTTCTAATTTAAATTTAAGTGTTTGTAATTTATTAGGATATCATAAGACAGAATTGATAAATAGGAAAATAAATCTATTGATTCCATAAATATTTGCTAAGTTTCATGATAATTATATTGAAATGTTTTTGTAGAGTAATGATTAATCAAAAATTGCAAAAGAAAGATTAGTATATATTAAATTAAAGTCAGGTTACATTATGCCTTGTTATATATGTATGAAAGCAATATAATCATTTGATGAAAATATTGTAATTGTAGCTTAATTTAGAACATTACGTACCTTCAAAATTGGATGTTATTTAATTCTTAATAGCGATGATGCAATTGAATGCATTTCTTCATCTTGTATTTGCTGCTTATTTATAGATTAAAAAATGATTAGCCATAGAAAAATCTACTTTAATGAGTTATTTCCAGACTATAACAGGAATGAGTATTTAAATAAGACAGGTTGTGTAATAAGTTTGAACTTACAATCCAATCTAGTTTCAAACTCAAATTATCTATAATATTATATTAATGAATTAGAAGATCAGACATAGATTTTATTTTAAATATAAGTTACTGAAATTTCAAATGAATATTAAGATTAAATTATTGGATATGTAATAAAATTAGAGAAGGTGAGTAATGATTAGAGTTAAATTTTGAGTCCTGATTTATAGCAATAATTAGTTGTACCGAATTTAACTATGAGCAATTTTTAATTTAAATATTTTGCTGCAAAAGCATTATATCTTGGAGAAAACTAAGAAGATGGAAATTCAGCTAGAGTTGATTAAACAGTTATTTGGGAGCAATCATCTAGATTGAGTGAAGAAACTCAAGTTGAAAAGAAGGAAAAGGTAGAGGAAGTAAAAGTTGAAAGAATTAATTATGGAGAAGGAATAAGAACATTAAAATTATTTGATAATAGAATTTAAGATATTGAAGATATTAGAATGAGCTTTACAGATTAAGATGAAGTCTAACATTCAAGTGTATTTTAGAAAAATTAAGATAATCCAGATGAGATTGAACAAGGCCAAAGGAATAATGTATTTAGAAATAGGAAAGCTTTAAATTCTACAATAAATGATTAATAAAGACCTAAAGAAATAGTACTTTTAAGTTGTATCATAAATATTTTGATGGTGGCTGTTCTAACATTATCATTTACATCATATTTTTTAGGGTTGTATTTGTTTGAAAATATTCAAAACTCATTAAAATTAATTTAATATGCAAGTTTAAGAAATCAAGAAAGTACTCAAGTTGTGATGAATGTTTAGAATTTAGAAATGTTGAGGATTGGAATATGGAATTTGACAGAATCAGAAGCTATTATCTATGAAAATGAATAAAGAAATGAATTAAATAATTCAATTTTGGCATTAACAGATGCAAATAAAAAAATAATGTTAAATGAATTATATATAAATGAATAAATTGAAGAATTACATTCAAAGAGTGTTGTAAATGTTAGAATTTCAAAAAATAGTTTTTCTTATTATGATTTAATTGAAGCCACTTAATAAATAATTAGTAAGGCTCTTATAATTAGAGATAAGCCTTTATAAAATTTGACATTAGATGATGAAGATGCCACTTTTATTACTTATAATTTACATAATGGAATTATATTCTCATATCGTAATGAGACAAGTTAATATTCTAATGGAATACAAGAATTGACAGAGAATAATATTAAAATCTTTTTTATTTTTTTAATAGTAGCTGCAAGTTCCTTTTTTATATTATTGATAATTATTATAATTCTTATAATATAGATAAATTAGATATAAGAATAAATATTACAATTATTTATGGAGATTCCAGAAAAAACAATTAAATATTTGTATAACAAAAGTGAAAATTTTATCTCGAATTTATAAGTAGGTGAAGAAGAAGAATTATCTTCTGATTTCAGTGATGAAGAATAAGATGAACATAAAGAACTCAGTAGAACTCTTAAATCAAAGAGGAAGAAGAAAATTTTTAAGAATACAAATTCATAACACAGAACATAAATACTTATAATTACATTTATTCTCTTTATTTTTTAAGGATATTTCTTATTAAATTATTTTCTAAATCAAGTTACTTATACTAACTTGAAATAGTAGATACCAGAATTAAATGTTACAGCCAGAAGTGGATCATATTATAGATTTGTTGATAATTGTGAAAGGTAACTATTTCTAAATAGAGAGGAACCAATCCTTTAAGAAGATTCATACTCTATTGTAATTAATAATATACAATTAAACTATGAAGTCGACTCTGATTTACATTAAGAACATGCAAAGAACTCAGAAATAATGAATTAAAATTATTATGACACTTTTTAATAAATTTTCATGTTGAATCCTTGTGAAAAATTTGCAAATAAAGGATTTACATAACTTGAATATTGTGAAACATTTGCAAATGGATCTATTTCTTAAGGTATGGCAGTAGCAATAGCAAGATATTTTGAGAACATAAGGTACATAATGACATTTTATGACATGTTTTATGGATATCCTGAGGTTAATTTCAGTATTGTTGCCAGAGGTTGGGGTAGATTTCGAAATATCACTAATAACTCTGACAATGTAACTAATTATATCTATAATTTGAATAATTTCAAACAGACTACAGAATCACGTATTATGCAAAATATATTTTTAAAAGGTATAAAAATTAAAATTTTTAATTAGCTGCTTTTCGATTTTTATTAGATGAATTTTTGGCTGCTTTGAAATATGATATTGAAGTAACTCAAACTTAATTATTGGCAATATTTATCGTTTTTGAAGTGCTGATATTTTTTGTGTATTTCATAGTTTGGTTACCAGCTTAGATGAAAATGACAAGAGACATTTGGAGAACCAAAGGATTGATCTTGATGATTCCATTACGTGTAATATAAAAGGTTAAAATAATTAAATCCTTCATTGGCGTTTTGATTCACAGCTAAGATAAGTGAGATATAATAATTAATAATTAAAAATGGAACTTAAGTCAAACTTTGGTACTTCAAAAAGTTCCTTAGACTCAGATCGATCTATTCTTGACAAATTGTAGACAGAGATGAAAGGAATCTTTTTCAGAGTTATCCAATTAATGTTAAAAGATGAAGAATAATCTATTCCTTTTACATGTATTGGTATTGTGATACAGTATATGCAAATAACTTATATCATCTTTAATCGTTAGATTTGGAAGGTGTGGTAAAATGAAATCATAACTAAACAACTGAATAATATCTTTGGGTATTATTAGATCATTTAATTTTATAGGTATGTCCTATTGACTCCATATTTTGAAATGGTTAGTTTTTCAGGATTTGTTGCCATGATGTATGTATGTTTGGGATTGCTTCTCTTTGCTATGATGCTGATATTTTTGCTGAGCTATAGTATCAGTAAATCTAAATCTTCATTTACATGGCCAATCATGTTGCTCAGATTTTTAATGTCTTTATTTTTATAGGTGTTTTATATGCCAATCATTGATTTACTATTCTCAATGTTATCATGTAATACTAATCAAAATGGTGTACTTATGCATGTACTCTTTGATTTTGAATGTTGGGTAAATATACATATTGTCCATTCTGTCGTAGCAATTTTCGGAGTTATTTTTTTTGTTATTCTTTGTTTACACTTCTCATTACTTTACTTCGAACCAAGATATTAACCTCTTGAGGCATCCTCTAAATTGAGCGGAAGAGCCAATGCTGTTTTCCTTATTTACTAATTAATTATGGTAATTTGCTATACCTTCATGAATGGCAGGAATTATGATTATTTGATGATTCTTATTATGCTTATAGGTAGCTTTATTATTTTTTGGAAAATACACATAGAATAACCATTTAACAATCTATACATCTAGAAAGCATGGTCTATGTTAGTTGCATTAAATTTATGGGGAGTAATTCTAATCTGTTTTGCCAAATTTCTTGAAGGGGTTTTATTTATTGGTACCGTTTATGCTTGGATAGCCGGTTTACCTTTAATGATAGCTGCAATCATCAAAAGTGAAAAATTACATTATGATTTGCTGTTATTAAATTTAAACAAAGTCTAAGATCCTGACTAAATTGTGTAATTAACCAATTATCTTCTCAAACTTCTATACAAAAGTCCATTAAATTCAAATTGTTCTTTGTTAATTGATGGTTTCTTAGAAATACATAAAGCAACATGTACAAGAGAGGATTGTTATCTTAAGCAGAAAAAAATGATTAATTAAAGATAGTAGAAACCACTCTTTAAAGAAGGCACTATTATTGAAAGAGACATCGATCTTTTAATGGTCATGGCCTAGATCTACTTTAACTAAATTAAAAAATTTCCTAATGAAATCAATCTTAGAATACGTTATGCTTTTTTTTTATTAGACAATATGAAATAAAGACAATAAGCCATTAATGAACTCATATAAGCTGAAACGTTGAGTCCAAGTCTTGATAATGATTTTGTGATATTTAGATACAAGAAAATTATTGAAGAAGAAATGAATGCAGCATAAAATGAAACTTTAGGTAATTTAGATGTAGCAACAGAAATAGCATTTTAAAATAATATGAGAAGTTTTTAAAATAAAATAGAGAGAGCAACATTAATGCATATGGATTTTTGGTCATAATTATAAGAAGATTCACCTGATTTAGGTAAAATGAATGATATTGGATCTAAAATTAATTTAGCTATTACTTAAGTTGAAGAATTATGGAATAAAATGTAAAAAATGACTTAAAATTTACCTAAAGCTATGAGATTATATGCTAAATTTATTATTGAAGTACTTTAAGATAAAGAATATGGAGAATCATTATTAGATAAATCTAAATTATTATAAACATAAAATAATAAAATGAAAAATAAATAAAGTATACAATTAATTAGTAGTGATGAAATTGGATATGAATCTCAACCTATATTATTAGTATCAGCAGCTTAAGAAAAATTTGCTTAAATAATTAATTTAAATTTGGCTGCTTGTAATTTATTTGGGTACAATAAATCTGAAATGATCAATAGGAAAATCAATATTTTTATGCCCAATCTATATTCTAAATTTCATGATGCTTATGTTGAAAATTTCCTTTAATCTAATGATAATAAAAATATTAATAAAGACAGATTAATTTATATTAAAATGAAATCTAATTATATTATGCCATGTTATATTTATTTAAAAATCATTTAATCATTAGATGAAAATGTATCATTAGCTGCTTAGTTTAGAGTATTGAAAAGTTTTAAACCAACTTGCTATTTAATTTTAGATAATGAAGAAATAATAGATTCTATTTCATCATCATGTATTCCATTATTAAATCTTGATTCTAAATAGATTTCTCATAAGAAAACTTCAATTTCAGAAATATTTCCAAATTATCTTTAATAAAAATAGATATTTCTATCAAAAACAGGTGGTCAAATATTATTTAATTTGGCTACTTCATCTGCTGTAAGTAATAGTCAATTAGCTTCTTAAGAATTTGATGAAGGTGATAAAAAGGGTGAATGTATATAATTTTAGTGTTTTACTTCTGAAGTATTTAATGAACTTGGAGATCAAGTTGTAGGCTATATTGTAAAATTGGAATAATAAATTTAGGATATTAGTATGAATTTAGAAATTAATTAACCTCAATAAAAAGTACTAACAAATAGTATGTAATTTAAATTTAATCCATCTAAATTCTTATATTAAGGGGAATTTGTATCTGATTCTAATTCTTAAAGAGTAGATTAAACTATTTTATGGGATCAAAATGATTAGTCTTCTATGATTTCATCAGTATAACCAGGTGTTGATTTAATTAAATCTCAAATTAAGTCAGAAAGATCAGATGATGGTAATATCTAAATTTAATCAAAAATAAATTATGCAGAAGGAATTAAAATAGTAAGACTTTTTGAGAATAGAGTTTAAGATATTGATGATAAAGATGATATGATATCTGAAGAAGATGATCAATAAGGAAGAAGTGTTTTTTAGAGACAATAAGATGTAGATAATGATCAAGATGGATAAATATAAGATTTTAATAATATATTTAAATCAAGAAAAAATCTTTCTTTAATTGTCAATAATTAAATTACACCTAAAGTAATAAAATAATTAAGTTGGACAGCTAATTTTATTATATTATTATTAGTAGCACTTAGTTTTTCAGATTTTTTTGTTTGTTAAGCTTAATATGATGAAATTTATTAAACTTTAGAATTGGTTGAATTTACTAATTTAAGAACAGCTGAATTACATTCTATATTAACATCAGTGTAAAATCTATAAATGTTAAATTTAAATATTTTTTAAATTAATTCAACAGAAGCAATTATAGAATTTGAAAAAACTCAAAAAACGAAGCTCAATAATTCAATTTAATTAGTTTCTTAATTGAATAAGGATTTAATGTTATCAAATATATTCATAAGTGATTAATTAAATGAATTATAAAGTAAAGATGTTGTGAAAATGAAATTTGGAGAACAATATCAAAATTATGATCTCATGGAAGCTACTGAATAAATAGTTAGTAAGGCATTAAATATTAGGGATAAATAATTATCTAAGATTACATATGAAGATGATGATGTTGAATTTATAATTTACAATTTGTTAAATGATTTAGTTTTTTAAATGAGAAATTCAAGTAATCTCTATGCAAATGGATTGACAATAAAAACTAGTGAAAAAAAGGAAACATTTTAAATTATTTTAGGAATATCAGCAGGAGCTTTAGGTTTAGGATTATTGATGTTGACAATTATTACACTTTCAGTAAATAAAATTTAAGAAGAAATTCTATCAATGTTTTTAGATATTCCAGATAAAACAGTAAAGTATTTATACAACAAAAGCGAAAATTTTATCTCAAATCTCTAATTAGGTGAAGATGATGATGTCTTATCTGATTTAGAAGAATTAGAAAAAGAGGAGTAGGAAGAATTAAACAAAACATTAAAAAGTAAAAGAAAAAAGAAAAAATTTAAAAATACAAATAAAGAATAAAGAAACTATATTTTTGCATTCTTTTTTGTAATTCTCATAATTTAAGCTTACTTTATTTTTAATTATTTTATGAGTGATACATTACTAAGTAATTTAGCTTAATTAGTTCCAGAGATTAATGCTACAAGTAGAGCTGAAGGTTTTTATAGATTTTCAGATAATGCATAAAGATCTTTATATATTAATAGAAATATCACAATTGAAAATGATGATTCATACAAAAAAGTGAAAGAGAATATAGATAAACTTTATGCACTTGATTCTTCAATTCATTAAGAGCATTCTCTAAATGTTGATATTACAAATTCTATATATACTGATGCATTCAAAGAGTTATTTATGTTGTAACCATGTACAATCCTTTCCTCTTACTTAGAGGACTTAGAAGAACCTGATTGCTAAGCTTTTGCTGATGGTGCAATTTATTAAGGTATGGCAGTAGGAATGGCAAGGTATTTTGAAAATTTAAGATATATTATGACAATATATGATTAATTTTGGAATAATACTAAGGCCAACTTTACAGTAATAGCAAGAGGATTTACTACTTTTAAGAATATTACAAAGAACTCTGATAATATTAGCAATTTTATTCTCAATTTAAATAATTTCAATTAGTCAAAAGAATCAAGAGTAATCCAAGAAGTTTATAATAGAGGTAAAAAGTGAATTATTAATTTTAGGCACATTTAGATATTTAATGAATAAGATGTAAATATCAATAGGTAAAGATATTGAAGATGCAAAAACATAAAGATTAGCATTATTCATAGTATTTGAAGTGTTGTTATTTGTGATTTATTTTATTTTATGGTTACCTCTTGTTTTAAAGTTGACCAGAGATGTTTGGAGAACAAGATCAATGATAATGATGATACCTTTAAGAGTTATACAAAAAATTAGATCAATTAAATAATTTATTAAGGATTTTTTACACACAAAAGAATTAGAAGTTTAATGATTAATATGTGTGTTATTAATAAAATAACTAATATCTAAATAATAAAAATATCAATAATAATTATTAAAATGAATAATGTAAATTAATTTGATAGATCATTGTTGACAGTTGATATCGTAGGTGCTTAACCAAAATAGAAGAGTTCTTACTTAGACAAGATAATTCCATAAGATATTCGCTAAACAAATAATATGAAATTGCAGTTTATCCAATATTATAACATTTTCTAGATATACAATACCTAAATAAGATCCCCAATATGGACGTAGGAGATATTAGCATGATTTTCATCATTTCTGCAATAGTTGTGTTCCTTAAGGAGAGAACTATTTTGATGGTTCGCACAAAAAACATTATAACTTACATTAAGGAGAAATCAAATAATATAGAGCTTTAGAGAATTATTATGATTAACCAAAGTATTATTATATAATATAAGGAAATCTATAAGGGGATAGATTATTGGCAACTAATGATATAGAAGGAGCTATTCCAGGGACATATACAAGTAAGGTTGTGAGAAATTAAGAGAAAGCATAGAAAATAAGACAAGAAAGAGATTATTTAAGAGCTTAAAATAATAAGGCACTTTATCTTTCTTAATTGGAATCAAATATAAATTATTAATCTGAATTTGAATAATAACCACAAAGAAATAAATCATATTCTATATAAATTACTCCTTAAAATTAAGTATTTGAAAATAAGGTTACTGAAATACCATAACCAAAATATGAATATATGAATAAACCTATGAAACTTCCACCTATTTTGGAGAGAGAAACACCTGTAATAAATCCTATATCTAATAAATTGTAATTACGTTAAAATTACAAAAATTATCTTTTAGAAGATTATGATAAGACTATATCAATGTTATAATAAAATTAACCTATGAAATTATTTGTATGATAATATCAATTATTCAATATTAATACTTCTATGATTATATGATAATAATGCTATTAAATTAATAATTCTATATTTTATAGGATTATTTTCTTAAATTAGAAAGATAATAATAATAATAAATATAAATAGGAAATTTCACATAATTGTTTTAAGTAGGTAAAAAAAAAGAATCAATAAATTAATATGATATAATTTATTATATAAATAAAATAAAGATTGTTTCCAGAAAATATAATTATTTCATATTTAATAATCATTTTAATGATCACATTTCTATTTCTAATAGTTCAGTTGATTTATTTTATTCTAAATTTTGCATTTTAATTTTCTTCCAAAATTCTATTACCAAAGCTGTACAAATTATTATTGTTAAAACCAATAATATCCATGCCCAAGTAGGATTACTTAATTATTCATGTTAAATAGTAATAGAAATATTATAATTATAAAATGAATTTGAAGCCACTAAATAATAATCATAGTTTTTAGATAATTAGCTTACATCAGAGCATTAAAAATAAATGGATTAATTATAGACTAATAATGTAACATCTGTTTAATTCATGGTTTCATTTTTTGATAATACTAATAAAAATTAACTTATATTGTTAGTTTGACTAACTAGGGCAATTTAAAGAATATTTTCGAAACTTTCATTAAAATAATAACCTCCTTCCATTTAAATGGTGCTATTATAATTTAATTGATTTGATAGATTGTATGTTTATTTGATTTTTGATATATTATACATAGCAACTAGATGTTAAGCTTTTTAACCTACAGGTGATCGAAATAACAAAGCCAAATATTAATCTTAAAGTACTCCAATAGGAATTTAAGTATAATTGCCATATGGAGGAATATAAGCAATGACATCTTCAAATTGAAGTGATGTTTAAGCATAACTTAATGGACTATAACTCATAATAATAACTAAATTGTAAATATTGTTTGATGTGAGAACAAGTATAATCTAATCATATTTTACAAGATAAATGAATATTTACAAGAATTTAGAATCAGATCTGTTTACATATTATGTTATTACATCTGATACACGATTTGAAACTTTTGAAAAAGTAAGATTAGTTGAATTAGTAATATTAAAACTAACATATTTTAATTCACTAGGATTTTAACATAAATAAAATATAACACCTCTTCCACTATAGGTTGAATTTATTAGAGATTTATTTTATAAAATAGTAAAATTATAATCTGAAATACCACCTCTACATTAAATTCTTCTAATTTATGAATCATTCTATTCACCATTTTTAGATTGATTTCTAGTTTAATTAAGATTATAAATATAAATTGATTATGAATTATCATTTTAACCCATTTTACCTAAAATAAATAAATAATCATTTAATTATGAACTTTTTATTATAGAAGTATAAGGTGGGTTAGGAATTTAGTAAGTGTTATTTGATGTATTCCAAAGTTAAGAGGAAGAACAAGTATAATTGGTGGAGTTATTAGAAGAACTGGCATTAGGAAATATTGAAAATACAGTTATACTTTTATCTGTTTTACAAATAGCATTCATATAAATTGAAGGTCCATTAATAGTTACACTCAAAGATAAACATTCTGTAAAATTATATTTGCTATAGCTTTATAATTATACTCCTTCAAAAATTACATAACTACTTTAATAAAGTCCTGAAATATTCTAATAAAATAATGAACGACAAAAACTAGTCATTTATGTAATATTTGTAATGTATTATGTGAAATATTAATTTTCGTTTATGAATTAATTTGTTATATTGAAACTCAAATTACTTATAATTTATCCATTATCAGTAGCAACTATATAATAATTAGTTACTTAACCCATTGAAACATTTGTCATATTTAAAGGTAATAAAACTGTATTGTTTTTTTTAGAATAGAATGTAAGATATTTAGTATTATTATTATACTTATATACGTTTACATTCATTGAAATTTACAAATAAATATTCATTACTATTAATTAATAATTAAATATGTTGTTATTCCATGGATTTGAAATTATTGTTTGAAGAGGAACTTAACTAATCATCCTATCTTATTGTTTAACTTAGTAAAATTAAAAACTATAAGGATTATTTTAAAAGGCAGCATATAAATTATTTTTTATTGATAAAATTGAAAATTAATTAGTATTTGTACAACTAATACTATCATATTAATGTAATGATAAATTATAATATAAGGAACTATGATAAGGTAAATCTATACTGTAAATAAATATACTATAATCTATTTATCTTACATAGAAAAAGTAGTTATCTGCTATAATTTACCAATTAGGTTCAATTGTACAATTAGGTAAAGGTTTATAAAAAGTAGGTTAATTAATAACAGATATATCATAAACAAAAAAGGATATCATATTTGATGTAGAATTTATAATACTTGCAAGAATAATATACATCTGAACAACAACAATTTAAGATATATTATAAGTTGTTTATTGATAAGATAATATATTAAAATTATTATTCTGTATAGTTTTTTAATATAACTCCAAACTAATGAAACTATTTTAATTATTAATAAACAAGGTAGATTAATATAATTATTAATTTACTTAAATTTAGATTGGTTAAAATTAAATATTATACTATTATCCTCCTACCTAATTAATAGTTGTTTGATTTATAAAATAAGATATAGAATTATTATAATTATAACAATTTACAATTATTTCACTTTAATTATAAAGTACTATCAATTTATTATATAGAATTTAAAATTGTAACATTTAATATTAATTGTTAATGGTGTAAGTATAAAACAAAGAAGTATTAGTAATTTTTATATTAAGCTATTTTTGATCTGGAGGTTAAAATTAAATAGAATAAACAAATATATTTTAGGATTAATCAAATACTAACACTAATTGTGTTTAATTATATTAAGACATTTAAATACTTGTTACCTAACTAACATTGCATGATATATTCTATTAAGCTGCACAATTCAATATTTCATTTCCTATCCAACAAATCGAATAAAAAATATGATTAGTATTATTACTTGATATCCAAGCATAAAATAACAATTGATATTGTTCAACAAAAAACAATTGAGTCTAATTTTAAAACAAACCTGGAAGATTGTCATTTAAATATGATAAGACTTAATTCTAAGGTGTAGATATACTAATATTTGAATCATTCGATAAATTGTATTATAAACTTAATTGCATTAAAGGCCCTGTAAAATGATTATTTAAATGAAAGATTTCTTTAAGATCTTAGATTGTTGAAAATCTATTAATATTTGATGTATTATAGATGTTAGTATTATTTTAATTTAATAATTAATATGAAAGAGTAATATTACATCCAAAAAAAAATATATCATCATGAACTTCTGGATTTTCATATGCATAAATAGTTATTTATCCATTTTAATTCTAATTAGTGATATTTATTATTAATTTTGGTTTTGTTAAATGATGCAAAGTAAGTTTTGTAGAAAATTTCAATAATTTATTATCATCATAATTTAGATACATTTAAACAGAATCTTCAAATTATCTATTTTTATATATTTGATTGATTGTTTTGTATTCATGAGAATTAGTAAATTTACCAATATAGAAATAAGTTTCATATTCATTTTGTTATATAATTAAGAAACTTGTACTTATATAGATTTTAACTGGATCTAAAAAATTCAATTTAAATTATTAGTATGAGTCATAAATATGTGAAATATTAAGATTAGATCCATCATATTAAAATTCAAATATATTATCATAATAATTATCATTAACAATAATAAATGAAGTCATTAATTAACCATAATATAATGAAGGAAATGATTTTATAGCTAAAAATTATTCATTAATGAAATCTTATGTAATATTGATTTGTTAATATTAATTTAAATCTTCTATAAGTGAAATAAAAATGCAATTTGTAAGATTTAAAATAGCTACAGAACTTCCATCAATCATCAATGAAAAATCTGTAAATGTAGGTATCATAAAACTACTTATAAATTTAGCTTTTTAAGTAGTTTCATTGTAATAGTAATTATGTAAATAAGATTCATTATTATTAAAGTATATTCCATAAATGATATAATTATTTATGTATACTAAATTTGTGTAAGCTATTTAATTAGTAATAAAACTGACTTAATATAATTCATATATAACTATTGGTACATTTTAAACAAATAATAACAACTAAAAATAATCATTATTATAACAATCAGTTATTATATTACTTGAAGATGCAAAAGTAGAACTATAGCTTTAACAAACAAAATCCACTTCAATTTTAAAACTATTTAATTATGTAATTGAATCAGATGTGTAATTTATTTCAAAAATGTTTAATAATTAATTGTTCTAAATAGTAGAAATATAATTTTAATATCCTGAAACACTATTAGTATTTTTTGTTTTTTACTAAACTTTTGGTGTATAATCTACTTCTGTAATGACATTTTTTATTTCAATTCCATATTCTAATAATTTACATCTTTATATATTCCTAATATCACTAATTGGATTATCATCTCCAATTATACACATATAATATAAATCCTCACCATCAAATAATTCACTCATATCTAATTTATATATCTCTTATTCAGTTGGATATAGAAATTACAAATGTTAATTCTTTATTGTGCAAGCCATACCTATCGATATCATCAATAATCTAAACATTTGAAATTATTAAAAAATATTATATATATTTTTTTTTTAACAAAATTTCAGATATTTAGTTTTGGATATAATATCATCTTTATTCTTCTCCTGGATTGCACAATTTTATGTATTTAACATAATAAATCTGTTTGAAATTCACAATCAATTTTGGATTCATAGGATCAAGATCTTTTGCTCTACCAAAATCTTCTGCTGCTTTACCATATTATTATAATGCTTTATGTGCAAATGCTCTACCAAAATAAGCATGTGAATTATGTGGCTATTATATAAATATTAATTATAATACTTGCATTTCTATCACCTTATCAAAATCTTCTAATGCTAATTGATTCTCACCTACTAATAAAAAACACTTTGCTCTTTCATGAATATAAGCAGGTTCATATTTCTATAATTCAATAGCATTAGTTAAAGGTTCTATAGCTTTATCAAACATTTCTAAATTTGCAAATGAAATTCCCAAATGATAATGAATATCTGGTACATAACTTTAAAATGGTTTATTTTCAAAAGCTTTATAAAGATCAGCAATGCTTTTCTTGAATTCTTAATTTTTATAATATGCAAGTCCTCTTCTATAATATATTTATGCATCATTAGGTTTTCTATCTAATGCACTTGTCAAATCTATTATTGCTTTTGGATATTCTTTTTTATCAATAAAAATATTGCTTCTTTAAACCAAAAATTCTTAATTATGAGGAGATTCCTTCAAAGCTTTATCTAAATAAAATAAAGCTTTTTCATAATTTTTTTTTAATCTATATGCTTATCCTAAACCTGAGTAAATTCCAGGATTATTAGAATTAAGTTCAAGAGCTTATTCAAAATCTTTGATAGCATCATTTAATTCATGCATTTCAATTCTTGCCAATCCTCTATTATAATATGTTTCTGGATATGTAGGTTCCATTTCTATTGCTGCATTAAAATCTTATATAGCCAATTCATAATTTTTCATATCCATGTAAACTAAACCTCTTGAAGAATAAACTAATCTATCTTTGCCTTCAGCATTCAAAACTTATGTAAATAATGATAATGCTTCTTTTAAATTATCATTCTTATGATACATTAGACCTAAATGAAATATTGAAGGCATATGATTAGGTGTTATATTCAAAGCTTCTTCAAACATTTTAATAGCCATTTCATATTCTTCAGAATCCTAATAGGCTAATCCTTTTGAATGATAGAATTTAGAATTTTTAGGCATCAATTTTATTGCCTTATCATAATCAGCATGTGCTTCTGC